AACATGCTTTATTTATTTTTCTTTTTCTATCTTGTTTGCTAAGAATTTCAGATTAGCTGTTCTGGTGTGACTTCAATACCCCGCCCCAAACTATTCATATTCGATTATTTTAATTACATTGTAACTGGCCATCCCCCTTCACGCTATAAAATGACCCTTCCCAAAAATAGTTCTGTGAGCTCCAGGTCTGTCCGTGCAGTATGTCAGAAACAAGGAAAAGTGGCGGGAGCTTTTTTCAAGGTCTAACAATGAGGTTTACCAATGGTGTAGGCAAAATAATCTGCTGGCCACATCTTTTGCTTGCCCTGTTGAGAACTGTGCTGGGGACATGACATTGGCAACTTTATCACGTGCTCCCGGTGGGTCATTTTTCGCCGTTCCTTAAACAGACTTCACACCAAGTCAAGGACTTACTCATTTTTTGACAGAAGCAATTTGGTATTGAAGGACATTGTATTGTTTATTAAGTGTTATTTAGAGAGAAATAGTTTGCTCAGTGTTCCCGCTTTTCGGGAATGTCGTACACTACTACAGCGGTAAACTAGGCATCTTTTATAAGAGAGGTGTTTAAGGAATATTTTCACACCACCATCCGCCACCGCAAATTTCAGGGCACAGTTGAATTTGATGAATCCCTCTTTGGCAGGCGGGTTAAATTCCACAAAGGCAACCCAAATCGTGGTTTGAAGGTAAGTTGCCTCTATTTTACATATTAATTTCCAGCACTTTCTTTTCAATTTTCGGTGGGTACAAATTTGATTAATGTATACATCGTGATTTGTAGGCGTCTTTGCTAAAGCAGGATTTTTTGTTTTATTTTAGATATGGATATTTGGCATGGTAGAGCGGGAATCGAACAGCATCATTTTTTATCCAGTGTCTGACAGAAGTGAAGAAACCCTGCTACCCATCATCAAGAGACACTTAGAAGAAGGTTCAACAATATACAGCGATGGTTGGTCTGCGTACGGCCCTCTGAATGATCTCAGCTATCAGCACTTCACCGTTTTACACAAGAACGTTTTCAAGAAGTCATATATCAATAAAAAAACAAATGAAGAGGTCCATGTCCATACAAACAGGATAGAGGGAGCTTGGAAGCACGCGAAAGACCATTATAGACGGATGGCAGGGACCAAGATAACAAAATTTGAGGGCCATCTTGCCGAGATCACGTGGAGGGCAGATGTAAAGTCCAATATTTACAACGGATTCTTCGACCACCTATTTACACCTTAAATGCGCCACCCAAGTACCACTACACAACACCACTCTTTGATACATGGGCAGGGTTGGCAGAGGCATCGGTGTCTCAAGTAAATTCTTGGGAAATTAAACCTGGTATGTTTCTTAATGTTTTCAATAGGCATACTTCTTTATTTGTAAAACGCAGTTGAATTCCTTCTCCATAGTTCCTTACAGTGTTTTCCTTTATTTTAAGTGAATTCAGATGCAGAGACGGACTTCCGTATATCAGTTGGAAGTTCTTCCTCCTCTGACTTCATACCAGCTAACGGGGAGTTGTCCTCGTTTGAATGAAGGGAGAGACGTGCTAGGCAATCCGACAGCTTTGATGTTCTCATGCATGAACTATTTTCTGCGACAAATGAGTCCAGAGACGAAGGGGAAAAACATTCTTATAGAAGGTGAAGGTGGTAATTACTCTGAAAGAAGAAAATACAGCATTTCAATACTTGTCCCAAAACATAATACAGTTTTACATTTACATTTCTTATTGGTTATCAAATTATATTGATTTTTAGCTCACCTGAGCCGAAGGCTCAAGTGAGCTTTTCTGATCGAAATTTGTCCGTTGTCTGTCGTCGTTGGCGTTGTTGTTGTCGTCGTTGTCGTAAACTTTTCACATTTTCATCTTCTTCTCTAGAACTACGTGGCCAATTTCAACAAAACTTGACACAAAGTATCCTTGGGGTAAGGGGATTCAAGTTTGTTCAAATGAAGGGCCACGCCCTCTTTCAAGGGTAGATAATAAAGAATTAGTGAAAAATTAACAGCATCTTTTAAAAATCTTCTTCTCAAGAACCACAGGGCCAGGAAAGATGAAACTAATGTGGAAGCATCCTCAGGTAGTGTCGATTCAAGTGTATTCAAATCATGACCACCGGGGGTAGGGCGGGGCCAGAATGGAGGATCAAAGTTTTACATAGAAATATATAAGAAAAACCTTTAAAAATCTTTTTCTCATGAAAAGCATAGCCATGATGAGTCATATTTATATTGAAGTTTTACGTACAAATATAAAGGAAAAATCTTTAAAAATCTTCTTCTCAAGAACAGCAGAGCCATGATGAGTCATATTTATATGGAAGCATCTTCAGGTAGTGTAGATTCAATTTTGTTCAAATCATGACCCCCGGGGTAGGGTGGGGCCACAATGGAGGATCAAAGTTTTACATAGATTTATTGGAAAAACCTTTAAAAATCTTTTTCTCAAGAAAAGCAAAGCCATGATGAGTTATATTTATGTGGAAGCATCCTCAGGTAGTGTAGATTGTTCAAATCATGACCCCCGGGGGTAGGTCGGGGCCACAATGGAGGATCAAAGTTTTACATAGAAATATATAGGAAAAATCTTTGAAAATCTTCTTCTCAAGAAAAGCAAAGCCATGGTGAGTCATATTTATATGGAAGCATCCTCAGGTAGTGTAGATTCAAATTTATTCAAATCATGAACCCCGGGAGCAGGGTGGGACCACTATGGAGGATCAAAGTTTTTAATAGAAATATATAGGAAAACATCAACCTCTGAAGAACTGCAAAGCCATTATTAGTCATTTTGATATGGAAGCATCCTCAGGTAGTGTAGAATCAAATTTGTTAAAATGATGACCCCCGGGGATAAGGTAGGGCCACAATGGGGGATCGAAAATTTTACATTGGAACATATAGGAAAATATCTTCTTCTCCAGAACTGAAAATTGTGTTTAGTCATTTTGATATGATAACATCCTCAGGTAGTGTAAATTCAATTTTGTTCAAATAATGACCCCCAGGGGTACGGTGGGGCCCATGGGGGAGGGGCTAGAAAGTTTTACATAAGAACATATAGAAAAAATATTTCTTCTCAAGAACAGAAAAGCTATGTTTAGTCATATTGATATGGAAGCATCTTTCAAATCATGACCCCTGGGGTAGGGAGGAGCCACAATGGGGGATCAAATTTTTACAAAATAATATATGGGAAAATTTTTTAAAATCTCCTCAAGTACAACAAAGCCATTTGTTATATTGACATGGAAGCAACATCAGGTAGTTTAAAATTTAAGCCCCCCCCCCCCCGTAATCTTTTCAATACTGAACTGATTTGTGCTTTTGCCTAGCTTATGTACTCAGGTGAGTGCCCATGGGCCTCTTGTTTGTTAAATTAAATAATACGACTTCCAAAATAAATTACTTCACACCTTTTTTCAAGTGGACACGACTTCTCCCTCTTCTGTGGCAAGAAAGAATATTTCTAGTGCTACGAAACAGCAAGGTATATACAACTATATTTAAAAGAAAGAAAAAATTACAACCTGTGTTGTCGTTTTTTCTTGTTTTAAATATTTATTGTCGAGCAATGTGATAATTATATAAATTATTATACATTTTGGATATATACGTATATATATATTAAAATAAAAGTTAATTTGTAAAAAAATATATTACTATACATCATTACACATAGAAGAAATACAACACATTATGAAAGGTTAATATGCTTTTATACCTTTGCTTTACTCTTAATGGTTGTGAAATTGGTAACGGGGCAAGTCATGGGAGCACGCCAGTCTGAAAGAATAAGAAGTATGCATTTTAAGTATTCAGTAGTTTAAGATATAAAAGCAATGCAGTGAATAAAGAATTAATGTATGAACAAAACCTCTTCATTATATTTTCTGCCTATAACAGGTTTTTCTTTCCTTACAGCTCGCAGTACAGCTGATGTCCAATCACGTCTAAGTACATCAGTAGAGGAAAGAGGTGAGGATTATAGAAAATCCATGATGAAATAAATTATAATTTAATTATCTCAATACTTTTATGAGAGATCTTTTAATATAACTGATAAAATATTTCATAATACATGTAATTACTTGACAATTCAGTCCAACTTTCATCTGGGAGGAGACGGTACAGCTTCATCATGCCTGATGATGAAGATGCTACATCAACTGTTCAGGACCCCTGTATTTTTGCTGCTCCATCCACCTCTGCTCCACGAAATCGTACACCTCATACGGAACCCTCCACATCAACCGCCACTTCATCTGTGTGCGAGAGGATAGAAAAAAAAGGTAATTGTAACATATCAGTAAATAAAGCCCGCATTTTTAAAAAAATAAAAAATAATTATGCATTTAAAGTATTATGCAAAGGATCTGCTAATAAACATGTTACTTATTCTATAAAAATCCCAATTTTGAATACAAAATAAATATATTTACCTCTTACACTTCCTCAGGGAACACCCCCGTGGGGACCCAGGGTGACAAGAATAGGTCCCTGGCACCCCCTTGCATGTCGTATGAGGCGACTAAATGGGGCAACCTGTTGGCCGTGGGTTGTGACCCGTGTTGGTGGAGAAGGGGATCCTGGTGGCTGAGGCCTGCAGGTGCTGGGTATAAGGCACCTGATAGACCAACACTCCACTTTGGCCCCATATTCATCTAGACGGGAGGTCAAGTATGGCCCGACTTGATCAATCAGCTGATCATGCCGAGCTGATAATATCTACATGCCTTAGTATTGATGTTTTGCAATTTATTTTTTTAATTATCTGTCTCTGTTTTGCAATTTCCAATACACCTACGTTTCCATGTTGATATTTATATATTAAGCGGTGGCTGAGGGTCAATCAGGCATATCGCGTACGAGTATAGTTTCTTTGTATCCTCTTGGTATCAGTATTACCGGATGTCCGTTTGACTAGATATCGCCCTTGTTGGCGCTCCGAGGCGGGCGGGGAGCAAGGATTCTGAAACTCTTTTCCTCTTATCATGGCTCTCTCAAAAAAACGTTGTTACCCAGCGGGTTTCGATATATCTTTTAACGATGAACAACTTAATTCTGTTGTGGAACATTGGCCCCGCTTCATCACACTTGAAGCACAAATATCAGACCAACATACGAAGCCTTTAACAAAGGTATCGCCATTTGTCATTCAAAAAGGTATTCAAGGCATCATCGGTACTCCCAAAAATGTCAAAAAGTTGAAATCTGGTGCTCTACTTATTGAAGTTACCAAAAAACAACAATCAACTTCCTTGTTAGGTTTAAAAATGCTTGCCGATATTCCTGTAGTGGGTCAAATCCACAGTGGACTAAACCAAAGCAAAGGCATACTGTTCGACAGAGATCATGACCTGGATGACATTCCTGAACAGGAGATCCAATCTGAATTGGAATCCCAGGGAGTGATCTCTGTTAAACGATTTACCAAAAAACGGAATGATATTATCGAACCAACAAATACATACCTTTTGACTTTTGGCATGCCAACACTTCCTACAAACATAAAGGTTGGCCTCTACCAAATGAAAATCGAGATGTTCGTTCTAAATCTGCTGCGTTGTTTCAAATGTCAGCGGTTTGGACATGGACAATCCAATTGTAAAGCCTCTGAAGCATGCTTCAAGTGTGGTGAAGAGGGACATGATGGTAAAAGTTGTCAAAAAGACCCAAATGCAGAAACTGTAAGGGCGGGCACATGGCTTCCTCTAAACATTGTCCAATTTGGAAAAAAGAGAAAGAGATACAAAAGGTAAAGGTTGAAAAAAGAATACCTTACTCAGAAGCCAAAAAATTGGTAAATATGTACAGTGTCCCGAAACCAAATTTGACAACATATGCAACTGTTGTAAAATCGTCCTCTTTGAAGGACATGTCCACACAGGTCTCTGAAAAAGACTTATTTCAGCAGGCCTCATCATGTAAAATACCTTTGTCATCTAATGACAAAGGTAAACCCACTTCACTACCCGCTTCTGCAGGTCCTGCAGTTGCGGCTGCACCACAAACCGTAGCTGTGGCTACATCAGAGCCATCGGCTGCGAATAAATCAACATCAACAGGGAGACAAAACAAGTCTCCCTCAAAAAACATCCCCAAGCATTCGAGTGATCGGTTGCCCAAAGGGGCACGAGATGCCGTCATTCTCCACAATAAATTTGGGGTCTTCGAGGAGATGGACATTACACCCTGCCATTCCTCCTCGGAAGTTCGAAGTACGACACCCAAGAAAAATAAAGGGAGGATATTCCCCATTTCTCATAATAAATAAAAATGAATCATCCTATGTTTATACAATGGAATTGTCGAGGTTTTAAAGTCAACTTTAACGAATTATCTTTACTTATTCAGGACCATTGCCCGGTAGCTATATGTTTACAAGAAACACATTTAAAAGAAACAGATAAAATTAATATTAAAAACTATAGTATGTTTAACCACTATGCTCAAACTGAAAGAGCATATGGTGGTACTTCAATAGCAATTAACAATAAATACATTCACAGCCAAGTAGCTTTGAAAACTAATCTACAAGCAGTAGCTATACGTCTTTCTCTTGAAAAAACAATTACACTTTGTTTTGTATATGTACCTCCAATCTATAATTTACAAACTTTAGAGATTACAAAATTAATACAACAACTCTCTGCTCCATTTATGATTGTGGGTGACTTTCATTCCCATAATCCATTATGGGGTAGAGACAAAATAACAGATAAAGGAAAAAAACTTGAAGATGCAATATCACATCATAATCTTTGTATACTTAACGACGACTCTAGTACTTACCCGCATCCGGGTAATGGTTCATATTCTTCAATAGATATCACTTTAGTAGATCCTTCTTTACTCTTAGATTTTAACTGGTCAGTACATGACGATTTATGTGGTAGTGATCATTTCCCAATTATAATTAAAGTAAATAAACCCGAAGAAAATAGTTCTACTCCAAACTGGAAACTAAACAAGGCCGATTGGAAGCAATTTGAAAGCTTATGCTTACAAAATATTTCGGCTGAAAAGTTCGAAAACAATCCTGATCCAATTCAAGATAGAAAATCCCGGAAAGGGTGATGGTGTTGGATTGATTGCTTAGTTCTCATCGCCGATTCGGAATTATTTCAGCCATTTCGGTGGAAAATAAAGTTTATATGACCAGTTGGACAGTTTTTTGGTTTTTCTGACGGTCCTAAGTGAGCCTACCCTTTTCCGATGGGGTTTGGATACTCGATCCTATTCTTTCTTCATATATATGCACGTGTGTGTTACACCATAATGATCTTAGTATGTTACAGATTTAATTACCGAGTTGGAATATTATGTTTCTGAAATGAGCGTTTCCTTGTCATATTTATATTTTTCTATTTTATATGATCTACATTCCCCCTCCCAAAAAAAATTCTAAATGATGAAAGACCCCAGTAGAAAACATTTGATCAGTGTCCTATTGGGAATGCCGAACAATGAAGAAGTAATCCTTGATTTTCCAAAAAATTCTTCTGTCTACCAAATGTACCATAAAAGCTAATGGGTATCTGTTAAAGAACATATATAGTGTTTAAATGGGAAAAAAAATTCTTAACATTTTTGGAGACTTCAGATAAATATTTCTGGTCAAAGCAATGTTTCAAATCAAATCAAATCAAATCCTAACCTGTTCTTGTTCTCCCTGGCGCAGTTGTCCATTTGAAGGTAGAAGACTTCAGGAAGGGATCAAGGAAAAGACACTGAGTAAGACAGATCATGTTAGATTGGTTGAGTGGCTGTATTCAAATAAATTGAAAAAGCTTAAAAACCCAACCCCATGTACTTTACCTTTACCAGCTGTACACACAATCTCCACTTGCAGGAGTTCATTCGGGGTGAATTTACTGGCATGCACAAAGTGTGGCATCTGAGTCTTATTCTGGTCCATTCCGTCTGTTATGAAGGACGGGTATCTGTTAGGATGGAATTTTGCCTTTTGCTGGTGTATAAGATTTTTGACGCTCGAGACTTAAAAAATGATAACATTGATTACACAAGTAAAATTGATGAAATTCAAATTTAAAAAATAACCTTTACAGAAAAGCGTAAAATATATCAATTGAAAGTAGTGTATAAATCAACATTTTTCTGATTTAACTAGGTTATAAACTTTGTTATTTTTTAAATTGAAAGTAGCTTGTAAATCAATATTTCCTCTGTTTTTGAACTAGATTATATGCTTGTTTTTTCCACTTCTCCAAGTTCTTAGTTTTTTTTTATCTGTTTTAAAAAGTTTCTTGATTAAATTCATCAACAAATCGCTGAAAGTGATTTAAACGATTGACCATCAATTTAAAACAAAACAGCAACGATACCAGAAAATCTTTCATATCGGCCATATTCAACCTCAGCAATGAACACAGACAAAAAAAAAAACATAAAAAGACCCGAATACTCATTGAGCGTTGTTTCATGTTTTAGCCTACTTCAAAATCAGGAAAACCCAGAACAATTTGGAAGTTCACTAGAGGATATATTATTACTTCATTTATGAAGTAATTAACTCCATCCTTATTTACCGGGTGTGCAATCGTTTTAATCACTTTTCTCTGGTTTCATGAGTCAGATAAGACCTTTAGACCTGTAGAATTTTGCTGTGAAGAGATCACTGAGGATGCCTCAATAATATTTCCATTTCCAATGCCATATGCATGTTGTGTGATCAACTTACAAGCCTCTACTTCTAGATCTGTAATGAAGCGTGCATCTCTCCATTTGTGATTGAATATCTGCTGATGGCTGTAATCCACGGCAACAACTGCTACTTGGCATCCTGTAACTCCTCCTCCACTATTTAAGGCCATCTTCATGTCAGGTGGGAACTTGATGTCATTTCCATCTGCAACATGCATTCTCATTTTCTTCATAAGATGGGCAATTTTGGCATCACAGTAGGATTTTCCTGATTGCGCCTCACTGAAGTTGTATCTCTTAATCTGAATTTATGCAAAGAAAAAAAAAATCATTATAATCATAATGCAAAGGAATTGATATGGCTAGAAAAATGTGACACCAAAATAATTTTTTCTTTCTATATATGTACATGTATCTGAAGTACATATGTTTTCATTTTACTGAAATGCACATTCAAATTGAAAGTTGTTCTAAAATAAGTTTATTCTCTGACTGATATAGTGATTAAATTTTCGTTCATAACAATGATAATAAGAAGAATTTAATTTTTTTTTTATATGGGGTCTTAATGAAGAAAAATGAAGGTCATAATTATTTGTGTAAAGTAAGTATATAGCTAGTATATAACTATTTAGGTTATAACTCAAATTTTGATACATGTATTATGTCAGGATGTTTTCTAAATGAATCTTGCTTGGGATGGAAGTGTCATTGCTTCGCTTTAATTTAAATTATGATGAAGATTGGAATATACATTTTCTTGTGATCTCTGTTTTGCAAAACACATCGTCGCTGACTAAGGTTTCTAAAAAGTTTTTGTGAAGCTCTTTTGAATATCTTCCACAATGGGTAAGTGCGTTTTTACAATTCTTAAAGTACCAGGATCAAAATAAAGCCGAATACCATTTTGTTCAAGCCAATCTCTTCCAAAAATAAATGAACAATTTATGTTTTGAATGAATGAGGGCCATACTTCCGGTCCAAACGCTCTTATTGTACTTTTCCTTTTCAAATAACAACCTGTAATTAAATATATGGAGATAACGAACAGTATTCAAGCTCAAAAGTCCATTAAACAATACGAAATAGGAGCAGAGAAAAAACGGACCTCCAAACATCAGAGGTGGAATCAGGTGTCATGGAGGAGTGAGCATCCCCTTCCGACCGGTCACACCCGCCATGTGCTCCTTGTCATGATCAGGAAATAACGGAAAATCCGTCGACAATCAGTGTGTAAATAATGGCCTAACAATTAGTATGAAAAACGTCAGTAAGCATTTGACTCAATGATAAATTGTATTTGCTGACAAGGTCATTGTATCGACCATAGAACTTACGAAATAATGACTTTAAACGAGACAGCTGATATTCTTGTTTCATCAACTTATTTATCAATAATTTACCTCGTTTTAGAAATTCTACATACGTAGAGCATGCTCTTGCGTATCGAATCAACTGGGAGATGTATACCCCGTATGCTGGTGATGAAGGTATATTGCTGCATAAGTAAGGGAAGTTGATGATTGAAAAGTTAAAGTCATCACGTTTATCATAAAGCTTGGTTGTTAGATTACCATTAAAGTCTTTTTCAAGTAAAATATCCAAATATGAAACAGATTTGTCAGACTCTGTGATATCTTTTATCTCAAGTTCACCAGGATATATCGTATCGACATAAGAATGGAAATAGCCATTATTAATTGACAATACGTCGTCGATATATCTAAATGTCGAGTTGAAGGCCACAGCAAGTGTTTTCTTCTTTTCACGTACAAGATTTTGGACAAATTCTGCTTCATATGAATACAAAAAAGGTCTGCTAATAACGGGGCGCAATTGGTACCCATGGGAATTCCAATAGATTGTTGGAAGACCTGGTCTCCAAAAACCACATTGAAATTGTCAATCAGAAACTCAAGCATCTTTTAATGTCAACTTCAGAGTACTTGTGTGTACAATCAGAATGTTTTTTAACAAAATAATTTTGCAAATGACCAATGACGAGGTAAGTATATTTACGAGTTCCAGTTTTATTGAAAAAGCATCTGTCAATGATATCTAAAAGCCTGGACTTTAATTTATCGTGGGGAATGGT